ACTGTATGTTTCCACCTTGCTGTATAGTCACCTACTTTATATTATTTTGATTAATTAGTGCATTCCAATTCTTTCAATTTTGTTTCATATTTGATTTCGTAATCCATTTTCTTCATCTACTTTGTTGCTTCCGCCAATTGGTATCAGAGCCAAGTTATGTTGTTATCTTTTGCTCACTATCTGGTTAATTCTGTTTAATCATTCTCCTTTTTTGATTAATTACTCTATTGTCAGTCATCTTAATCTGTCAAAAATTCTATCTGTGTGTTTCCACCTTGCTGTGTAGTCACCCACTTTCGTCCTAGTCCTAGGTAAGTCCTGAGGTCAGGCAGTGTTGGATTTTAGGGGTCTTCCGAATAGGGTATGTATGAACGTGGGTATGAGAAAACATGATAAATTTAGACAATGTATTAAAATTCCTGTAGTACAGATTAATTACTCATAAAATGAGTCGATTATTTAGAAATAACTCGTCAGTCAGTTCTAGATCAACTACTTTTCTCTTAATACCTAATCAAGGATTAGTAATTAATGAAGAAGATATTGAAATACAAAATGATAAAATTGATTTAAGTTGGAATATACCAAAATTATCAATTAAAGAAATTTATAAAACTACTTTTATACATAATACTTTTTATGTTAATCTGCATGTTAAAACTATTGAACAAGTTTATGCTTTAGAAAAACCCAGGAAAACCTGTCAATTATTTGATGCTAACCTTATTAAAAGACATTTAAAGAATGGTAATAATTTTATTCATTTAGGCTTAATTCAAGTCGGTGTTAAACCACTAACCATGCAAGGAAAAAATACCTCTGTTTTGTTATGTTTACGTGATGCTCGTTTTATTGATTATAATGATAGCTTAATGGGTATGATGGAAACTGGTCTTCATAAAGGTCCAACACATTTTAATTGTTTTCCTGATTTTACACTTAGTTTACGTGATCCACATAATTTAGATGCATTAACTTTAAATATTCAATTAAATGGTTCATTTACTAATATGAAAGAAAAAGTTCATAATATTGCTTTGATTTATCGTGTTCACTATAAATGTATGAAAACCAATTTAAATGTTCAAGCTTTACACAAAAGTCCAAAAGATAAAACCCTGTTAATTCAAAGTAGTAGTACTGACTCACATATTAATGTTCCCCAAATGACTGAATGGAAAAATATTACTCTCCCTAATCAATGGATACTGTTAATGAAAATTACAAACATAATCAACAACAATCTTTTATTCAAGATATTCAAGATATTCAACAATACACTGATGGTTCAGTACGTACTAAATTTAATCAAAGCCAATCTTCTAGGCATAGTACATCTAGTGTCCCCACTAATGTAGAAACTGAAGGTGAAATATTTAATACTCCTCTGTTCAGAAAAAATAGTCAAATTCATCTTGGTCAAACTTCCCATAGTAAACTCAAAGGAATTGATAACTCTGTCATCTCTCAAATTAGTAAATCTGTTTATTCTAATCACACACATTTATTTGACAATGAGGAAGAATCTCAAAATTCTCTCAATTTTGAAGAATTTATACCTCCAATAAATCCCCATTTAATGACAATCAAAAAAGATTTTACTCCTGATTTTGATAAACTTCTTATTGAATTTCGCTCTAAAGAATATAAAACTGAAAGACATGCTTATCGTGCTAAATATGATACTCATCAACAATCTAGAATAACTAGGAAATGGTATGAATTTATGATTGAATATAGTATAGAATTACCTTTCCTTGCATATTATGACAATTATTACAAAAAAAGTTAACACAATCACAAAACATAAATGGAAAACTTCTCCTAATACTACTGTTAGTTCTAGTCATCCTCCTTTAGTAAATATTATAATTGATCATCAAGGATCTGAGGTCCCAGCCTCTCCTTTTAAACTACCTGGTACTGATCCTGACATTAAAAAAGTTATTGAACAAAATAATTATACTAATCAATGTTTATCAACGATTGGCAAACAATTAGATAAAATTGAAACTCAATTAGATTCAACTAACATTTCCCCAAACAAACCAGCTTTAGACCACCCTTTACTTAATCTACCTAGCAATAGATCCAAAAGAACTAGTTTAATTACTCAAGATCATTCCACTATTAAAGCTATAGAACAACTACTTACCAAACTAACTATTTCTGAAAAAGCCTCTCCTTCCACTGAAAAAGGTCTTACTGTATTAAATCAATAACCTTTTATAAAGATATCCTGTTAAATCACCAATAAATCTTGATCAAACCTATCTATGATCGAACCTATGCTAGTAAGGTTCTGTATCATTCTTGTTACATTCACAATATTGTTTCCTTAACTGAATGGGGTCCTCCTTCTCAGTTTCGTGATTTACCTGGTCACTCTATTCAATACAATTACCATGATTACATTGATGCTTGGTTCAAAGTCTTCTTGTACCAAAATGACACATTCAGTCACTCTTGGTTCATTCAATTTGATCAAAAATTCAAATCAGAATTACCTTCTTGGTTTCTAAGATAGTGGTCTCATTATGGCGCCATTTCAGATATCTTCCATGATATTCTGATTGAACAAATTAACTATTTTGCTATTGTTTTCCCATTTACTCCTCATCAAAGGAAGTTTCCTTTATTGCTCATTTTTATATCTAAATATAAAATTCCTTGGATATTTAAATGACATTATGGAATTTCTGATGATATAATTATCCGACAACACTCTGTTAAATGGTGGGATAAGTTCACAGTGCATCGCATTGTTGAAATTTTCCAAGCTAAATTCCCAATTGATCAACTTGCTCCTACTCCTGCAACTGTTAAAGCCCAGCAAAACTCAACTGCTACAATTTCTCAAGGAAACCCAAGTCTTCCTACAGTCAATCTTGGAAGCCCCTCATCTAGTGGTTCCAAGCCCAAACCAAAGGATAAATCTGCAAAATTATCCAAGCCAAAATCCAAAGCTGTTGCTACTTAGCCAGCCCAATCAAAGCCCAAATCAGAAAAATCAAAGTCTGCTCAGTCAAAGTCTGCTAAACCAAAGGTTAAGCCATGATCAGCCAGTGATCAACTGCTTCAAATGGCCCGTATGCTGATGGATCAGGCCCAAGCCCAATAAAAAGATGAACCCTCTGATGATGAACCTCCTGCACCAGTCCAAAAGTCCAATTCAAAAGAAAGTTCAGACAGTTCACAAGAATCAACTAATCAAAACCCATTTGGACCCGAGTTTCAAGATGCTCAGGATCCATATGCCTAATCAACTCTGTATTAGATTCCATATAGATACAAATTAGCTTAAATCAATACTCTTTTGAGAAAAGCTACCAATTTGTACTTATATTGATTCCTTTAATTACCTATTCCACCGAAAGTCATGAATAGTAAAAGTTACTGTTCACTTTTATTATTCACCAATCAATTCAAGTCAAAAGCTGCTTCAACTTTTGCCAATCAGCCGAAAGCAACCGACAGCTTTGTTCTTCCCCAAGTGCTGCCAGCTGCCTTCATCAATCAACCTATTCACATGCTGCATAGTAAATTTTCTTTTCTATATAATGTAATCAAATTTTTCATTCAAGACCCAGAGTTTTTTAGAAAAAACCTGAGAGTTCTAAGTGAGAATCAACACCTCTTGTTTGTAACCTATTAAAGATCCTTGCATTTGCAACGATTGTAATTGTAAGTTATTTTCTGTATTTAAATGAAAAAGTTTTATATTATTTTGATTAATTAGTGCATTCCAATTCTTTCAATTTTGTTTCATATTTGATTTCGTAATCCATTTTCTTCATCTACTTTGCTGCTTCCGCCAAATAGGGAGTCACTGTAACAATATTTATATTTGGAGGGTTGGATAGGGGAACTGTTGGGGATATGTTTTGACAAAAAAAACTCCTTATTTTGAGTAATGAGGTATAATAAGGGAAGAGATGGGGATGCTCTAAAATGCATCTAAAAAATGTAAAAAAATTATTTAAAATTTTAAAAGTATTTAATAAAAATAAAAAAATGAAAAATAAAAATTCAATTTCTAAAAAATTAAAATCAAATACATTAAATACAACTAAAAAAATACACTTTTATGCACTCGTTTGGAAAGAAGGGTAGGGTTGGGTTGAGTTGAGTTTAAGACTATTTTAGCCACAAAAAGATAAAATATATTTTTTAGTCAAATAAATCAAAATATCACTTTCAATTTATAATTTTTTTCTCACAAAAATCAAAAAAACTTATTTTAAAAACTTTTTAATCTCAATTTAAAATAATTAAAAAATCAACCCAACTCCCAAACGAACTATGGAATGCGAAATACTGCCTAGATATCACAACAATTTTGACGGTTTGTTTTTTTTTTTTGTTACAAGAAAATCCTCCCTATCCTCCCGCAAGTCCATGGCAGTGCCCCTTGCAGAGATCACCAGAGTGTCCTGTTAGCTATTCCGAGCGAGGAGACTATAACCTGAGAACTTGCCCCGACCTCCCAAGACAAGCTTCGCTTAAGTCAGGACTCGCACAGCGGAGGAGTATTGAGGAGTATTGAATCCACACAAAGTGCTGATTAGACAACTTGAGGTCCAACCTCCTAACCAACTGTGCTTCGCACAGCGGGAGAGTATTGAATCCACACAAAGTGCTGATTAGACAACTTGAGGTCCATCCTCCTAACCAAGTGCTGATTAGACAACTTGAGAACTAACTGTGCTTCGCCCAAGAGATTGGCTTAGGAAAAAAGGAATTGAACCTGTGACCTTGGGGCTTAAACCCCAAGTCTTAACCACAATGCCACCCACCTCTAGATTATTCTGGCGGTTTTAAATAGAGAGAAAAGAGGAGTATCTATTTACACACACACCACTCTCTCTCTATACGCATTCTTTACACACAACTTTTTAACACACTCTTTTATTAAGTGTGCGAGAATAGAGGATATGGTGTGTTCATATAGAGGCTCTCCGAGAAAAGAATAGTTCAAAAAAAATAAAAAAATAGAAAGAAGAGAGAGAGAGATTATCTACCTATAACAGCGACTCCTCTCTCTTTCTCTCTCTATAGAGTCTAATTCATTATTTCTCTCTCCACTCCTACTTTTTTAGATTTTCTTATGTATTGTTGTTTGTGTGAGCATTTCATCCTCATCTGATTCTCTCCTCTTTCATGTCTTAGGGTTAGGTTTAGGTTTGCTTGCTTTGCTTGTTCGTTTGTTTGTTTCGGTTTGATATTTAGAGACCACCAACGATCCCATGGAGGGTGAATTTCAAGATTGGGAGGTTCTCCACAACTCGGATGAGACCGACTCAGTTAACTCGTCCGATTCGGTTGAGAACATGAAGGGTTTGGAGGGGATCGATGGTGTCTCTGAAGGTATGATTCGAACAGATCACTTTTCTCTCGATTTGGAGAGCCATTATATGGAGAATTTTGTGGATAATGATGTGTGCGTTGAGGACTCTGTAAATTCTGATAATCTGAATTGGGTCGATCCTGAATCGGAGACTAACTATCCGAATAAGGAATCGGTTGAGTTTTGGCCTGATTCGGGGAGCGATCGATCTGACGATCGTAAATTTGGGGAATTCGAAGGTAAATACGAATTGGGTTTTGTTCAAAATGAGAAAATTCAAGCGGGATTTGAAGGAGTTGGAGAAATTGGAGGTGGGGGTGAGGATTTGGGGAAATCGTTGTCTGATTCTGGCAAAATTGGACCAATTTCGATGGAATTTGGGGACTTTGATCACAATACTGAGATGGGTATTGGTGATAATGCAAATTCTCCTGAAAGGTCAGAGCTTTTGGGGGAAGAAAAAGGTGGAGATGGCGAGGCCGGTGGAGATGTGGCTTCGAGTGGTGAAGAAAGTGTTGCCATAGGAGCAGTGAAGCCAAGTGGTGAGGAAGAGAAGAGGGTTGTTGTGTGGTGGAAGGTTCCATTTGAGTTCTTGAAATATTGTGCTTGCAGGGCTAACCCAGCATGGACAATCTCGGTGGCCGCAGCAGTTATGGGTTTTGTTATCTTGGGACGAAGGTTGTATAAGATGAAGCGGAAGAGCCAAAGCTTGCAGGTGAAGGTTACCATGGATGATAAGGTCAGTTATTCTGTGGCATTTAGGTTCTGTTGGATAGTTGTGGATTTTCAAATCAATGTATTGTAATTTGTAAGTCAAATAGATAATATATATATATATATATATATATAAATGGAATAAGATAAGTTGACACTTTTGCAGGTTCCTTATAGCTAGAAAGAGAATCTTTGAACATGATTTCAAATAACTAGTTTTAGATAGTTGTTTCAAATCCATCATGTTCACGTTATTTATCTTAATCTGGAAATTCATAAGTGAACTATTATATCTAAATTGAGTTATTGTCTTTGAATGATTAAGGTGAAATCCTTGATTTAAAATCTACATCTATTCAAACTGCCTCTTAATTTCATCTGGTTAATTTAGTTTCGAACTGCTGTTTTTCTTATTTCATGTTATCACAAAATGAGTACCATTTAACTCTGACATTGTATTTTGTAGAGTATTTTCACCTTAATTGCTATTTTTGGTTGATAGGTTAAACTTGAAAAATGAAAAACAATCAAATTTCTAAATTTTGAATATTTTATAAATAGGCCATGGAAAAGAAAATATTGCTAACTTAGCGTCACACAAGTATATGGCTTACTTCAATTCTCATTTTTGAACCAACTCATAGCATTAGACTCTTTTTTATTTGGTCTGATAATTTTTTTTATAAAAAGGTTTCCCTTTTTGTTCTTTCCCTGTTGGTTTTTTAACAACTAAATGAAATGGTAGGTTAGGTATTGTAATCTATTGGTTACTTGCAGTTTACAATTGGGAAACTTTCAAATGACCTGTTACAATTTCTTTCCAAATTAACTGGAAGTGCATTACATGCACCAGTGTTGAGAGTAAACCATTTGTTAAGACAAAAATACGCTTGTAACAAAATATCTATTTTTTTCTTCTCTCTCTCTCTCTACTATTTATCTCTCCTAAGATGTTCTATCTTACAAAATGCCACATTCCCCAAGTTGTTCTATTTTAACCTGATTGCACAAATAGAACATGCTATACAAAGTAAGCTTATTATAATTGGTTTTGTTTTGGATCTTTGGATGCATAATTGGTCTTCTCTGTCTGCTGGAATATTGTAATACTGTTAAATATTGTATGGCTCCCCCCCCTTGTTTTTTCACTCATTCATCTTTGGACTATAGCATTATTTAAGGCCCCCGTCTTTAAAATTATTTATTGAGTGATCATACCATTTTTTTCCCCTAGAGGGGTAGTAACTATATGCCTTCATGCTAAGAAATCATTATTAAGATATCTTTGGCACCCTCATCTTTGATAAAAATCATAAAGGGTATATTCTCTCCATTTTCAGTGTAAAGAAAGCAGAGTGTTTACTAGACATTTCAAGCTTTCATGGTAGTGTGGGAATTGCGCTTGATGTTGTCTAGATCAAGGTTTTTTTTAAATCGCTGCTGACCTACTTGGAAGAAGTAGTCATGTGTTGGCTGCTTGCCCTAAGTATATTGACAAGATGCCTAGACTTTGAATGATGGTTTTCCTTTTTGATGCTCCAATATTTCTTTTTAGAATTGAAACATTGCAAGGAAAATAAAAGGAGAAAATGTCATGTTACATTGATGTACCCCATCAGAATTAATAGTGAATGGAGGTTGTAGGCTTGGGATAAATGTAATCCTCATTGGGAGATTTTTTCTTTATTGATTCTTTTACATTATCAACTAGGATTGGACCACATGTAAGTCTCATGGTGTTAAGAAAACAAGGTCCCTCTTTTCATCTATTCTTTGCTTGCAGCAGTTTAAGTAGTCTACAAGGAAAGGGGGGCAAGACCTGATACATAATTGGTGCCTAACATTTTTTCTTTTTATTTAAATTTTTTGATTGATTATCTGCAGAAGGTATCTCAGTTCATGAGCCGTGCTGCACGTCTTAATGAAGCTTTCTCAGTGGTGAAACGGGTCCCAGTCATACGACCAACTCTGCCTGCAGCTGGAGTGACTGCATGGCCTGTGATGAGTTTGAGATGAGATTCAGGTTGTTAAATAGCGCGAGAATGCAGTATGTTCATGAAGCATGTGTACCATGATTATATGTGCGGTTTTATGTTACTTGTATTATCTTGAGGTATGTGTACCATGATTATACATGTGGTTTTTATATTGTTACCTGTATAATCCATGCGTGCTGGCCTTCTTTATGTATTATGAACCTTCAAAATCGCTAAGAGACTTCTGTATCAATTTACAGTGTGTGCAAACTTAAAAGTTGGTTCCTTTCAGTGTCCCTGATATTTCTGTTTGCTTGACTAATCCTATCTACCTGATATTTCTGTTTGCTTGACTAATCCTGTCTAGTATTTTTTTTGTGCTATTTGAACACACCAAAAGTGAATTTTGTACAAATTTGCTACAACTTGCTTTGACAGAACGTATGTTGAAATAACACAGGGCAAATTACACTTTGATTATGTTTGGTCATTTTTTCACTTTAGCTTTCAAAGGTTTTTTCTTCCATTTTGGATCTTTATTTTCGAAGTGTTTTTTTTTAATTTATTTCAAAAGCTAACTTTTGTATAAAAATATTTAATTATGTATAATTCACATTTCTAATGCAAATCTAAACTTCAGTATAATAAGATAATTTTTATGCCATGAGACGATTAACGTGATATTTTCTGTCTAATTTTGAACAAAAATTAGTTTTAGAAGTAAATTGTGAAAAATTTCAAACATGAAAGGTTAAAGTGAGAAAATGATCAAAATTAAAATGGTCCAAGTATAATGTATCAAAAAATTATATATAATAATTAAGTGAATGTAATGAAATATAATATAGTTACCATTCATTCACATGGTGATCAATAGTGCAGCGATTAATTTCGTATTTTCAACAGTACTTTAAAAATTGGGAATTGCATCACAGTAAACTGACCAAAAAATGTTCATAAAAGAAGGTGAAGTGTAACTTTTTCTATGAATTCTTTGCCACAAAAAAAAGTTGCATCCATCATGTTTTTTTAATAATTTTTCATCTTACACCATGATTGTAATTTTTCCTTAAAAATAAGCCTGTTTTTCATTTAAAATGGGTGTGCTGATTTATTCAGATTGAAAGTTAGACAATCAATCAATGTGTTTTTTTTTTTATAAAAAAAAGAAAAGGAAAAGAAAAGAAACGTTGCTGCTCTGGAAATACAATTAAAAGACAAAAGCATAAAAAAGATGAATATAACTTAAATGTTAATTAAAGGAATATTTAATTTAGCTTTCCAGTCTAACTTTTAGTAATGAAAGAGATGTATAATTTTTTTTTTCTTTTTGTTGTTACTTAAGGTCTCTCACTACATCCATATATCACACTCACTCTCTTATTTTCTCTTCTCTCTCTCTCTGTGTTGTGACATTACCGCACATTTTGATACTACTGCTCATCTTCCAACACTTCTCAAAGCTTGACTCAATAGAGATTCTCACTCCCATGCTCACCCATCTCACACCAAACAATATTGGAGATGACGATGAAAATGAAGAAGAACAAGAGTCCAAGCTCTACATCAATGGCGATTGGGCCTTATCTTCTCTCAATCTTCTCAAGAATCTCTTACTTATTTCTCTTCACCATGTTCATATTCATATTAATATATATATATATATAATCTGCGAGTTGTTGATATGGGTGATTTGTATATATATCATCATCACCAAGTTTATGGTAATAATGATAAATACGTATGTATATTCATATTGATCTTCTAGATATATGTGTATGATGGAGAGGACAATGAGGGTTACAGAAAGAAATGAAAGAAAGGGAGATAGAAGGGTTGAGTTGGGGTTTATCGTCTATACTTTATTTTATTTTATTTTACAAATATGTTCAATTTTCTCTGGTTTTGTGAAAACAGAGACAGAGAAAATTATGAACAAATTAGAGAAATTTTGACTCAGAGAAAATTAGTCAAAAATAGAAAAATTTGTGAGCAAAATTTTAACCCAAAGAAATTTTCAAACATAGAGAAAATTAGAAAAATTAAAATTTGAAAAATTTAGCAAACAAGAGAAATTTCGATCCAGAGAAATTTTAAAACATAGAGAAATTTTAAAATTTCTCTGGATCGAAATTTCTCTGAAAGAATGTTGAGGGATCTCAACCATTATGCAAATATTGCATGTCCTTTATCCTATAAAATCTTAATACCAGATACCTTAAAAAAAAATCCCCAAAAATAAAAATGTAAGCAAAAATGTTGTAGAGCTATATAATTAATTTGAATTATATTTGGATTTAAATTGAGTGTCCTTATACATTACATCAAAATCAAAAACATAAATTAAAATAATTGAAGAAAACTATATGATGAAAAATAAATGGGATTGAACAAAAATCTTCGTCAAACTCGCGGTCTCTTTGAAACCACCTTGAATTTGAGGGGGGCTATTAGTAAATATATTTTGTATATATATTATATAATAACATGTACTATTTCCATAACAGGGTAAATAAGATAGACGTGGGGAAGAAAGCAAATTAAATAAAACTCGAATAATAGAAAAATTGAGAGTAAAATATATATTTTTATTTTAATAATTCGATTTGAATTACTAAAAACAATTCAAGTTCAAATTTAACGATATATATAAAATGAAAAATTCTTTGGAGCTCTAATTCTTGAGCTCTAAAGTTAGCTCTAATGAGCTGGCAATGGGCCGCACCCATTGTGATTTGATATTTTGGTCTTGGTTTATTTTATTTTATTTTTTTCCTTACCATGTCATTAATGCTCTGAATCATTGCAATGGGCCCTACTCACTGTGATGTAATGTTTTGGTTTTGGTTGGTTTGTTTGTTTTTTTTTTTTTTCTCTTGCCATGTCATTAGTGCTCTATTAGAGCATCAAAATTAGTGCCCTGAATCATTGCGGTATAAAAATAAGATAATTGTGAGAGAAAAAAAATAAGTTAAATAAAACTCTAATAATAGAAGAATTGAGGGAAAAATATTTTGTTTATTTTTTTAATAATTAGATTTGAAATATTTTAAATTCAAGTTTATCATATCTTTTTGAGTATATATGTATATCCATATCTTTTTTATTTCAAATTTTACCTTTTCTCATAAAAAATAGTAAATTTTTATTAGAAATTAGAAAAAATAGAAAGGAAGATTTATAAGGCTGTCAAGTAAAAAAGATAATGTAACGCCCCAAAGTAAATATACAAACCCATCTCATAAAAATCGAATTAACAGGTTTTCATTCATTAGAGTTTAATATACATGAGAGACATGTACAAGAAGGAATAAAAGTTACACAAATATTCATTTGCCCTAATAACTTACATCTTTCCAAGTTGCTTTGGTTACAACAAAAATAAGCCTAACTCAATACAATTTTAAGCCCTTGGCTATACAAAATAGATATAACAAAAATAGAAGCTCTTGCTTCAAATTCCTCTAAGCTACTGCCTTGGCGGAGCCATATCACCAACACCTAAAAATGGTTTTCCCTTATAAGGTGAGCCAAAACCCAGTAGAAATAATCCAGTACAACATATGAAACTTAACGAAGATATGAGAGTAAAGATGCAATTACAATGCCATTGATAAATTGTTCCATAATTTTTTTACAAAACATGCAGCACCAACTGTATTATTACACTTCATAACAATAGTCTATTTTATTCAAACGATCAAACTGAGACTACAACTCAATAAGTCTTTAACCAGAATAATCATCATACAAGCACTTCTATTTGCCATTTTACAGACATTTTGTCCGCAGGAATCGACACCCATATATAATCTTGATTTTCAGAATTTTCACCTTGGACACTTCAACCAACTTAATTCAATGAAGTCCATCCCTTATCTCCTCCCAAATATGGAGTACATCCCCTATCTTCTCCCAAACATCATACATATACAATGTAAGTAAAGACATAATCATATTCAATGACAACGGATGAGAAATGAGTTTCAATTTACCTAATCCTCATGCAATTTCTACAATAATCATAGTTACCCTCCATCGATAGACTAAAACAGATATTTCTAAACAGATATACAATCTCAAGACAGATAAATTATCTAAATTTCCATGGGTGTCAGGTAATACATACCTAATTCCACCATTTATATCAATATTCATCCAATTTCACATTTACAATACCAATTTCATTTATTTATACAAAATAAATGTTTAAAACATTTTAGGACAAACTTTTCATTTTTCCAAACTATTCAACTCAAGTATCAAAATCATCCATTTTGTTACCATATAACCTCAAAACCACTTCCATAACCATTTTCGATACTCTCATTTGAAAACCCCTTTTTTGAATTTAAACCAAAACCTTAGATTTGTTTCAATCCTCCCAAAATCACAATGATGTTTAAACAAAACAAATAACTAAGTTAAAAGTCATATAGAAGCAAAAAAAATCCCTACATCAAGTTTAGAAGACCGAAGGAAGCAATGGAGGAACTCCAAAGATATCGACGCTAAGTTCTATTCAGATCAAAACGCAACCCTTGAGATGCACTACCTTTTTAACAAAGGCATACGGGTAGAGAAATCACTAGATCTAGGTGAAAATGTAGAGAGAATTTTAGTTTTAGAGAGAGAGGCTCTAGATCTAGGGTTTTGAGAGAAAAAGATACGAAAAATTGATGTAAAAAAGTGTTGTTGCGATCTGATATACGTACAATTCTCTCAAGCGTAAGAGTTAACGTTCGAGCGTCAGACACAATAAGTTATTCTGCTCAAGCACCAAGAAACAATGAAAAAGACGCTCGCCGCTCGAGCGCAAAAAGTAACGCTCGAGCGTAGAAAACACACATCCAGTAGTTTTGCAGACAGAAAAATATCGCTTGAGTACAAGAATGGCCGCTCGAGCGCACACCCGCTCGAGCGTAGGAAATGCTGCTTGAGTGTAGAATACACTTTCCCAGTTATTTTGCAGACCTGCAAAAGTTCTGAGAGTTTGCAAAACCTGCTTGAGCGTAGGAAATGTTGCTCGAGCGGAGGACCAAAAATCTAAGCAACAAAAGATTTGAAAAACAAATGACCAACCTATCCAAACACAACCACAACAACCTAAAAGCCCAATTCAAGGAGATACAAGGGAATCAAGAGGTGAACAACAATATGAAATCATTAAACCCGAATCTGGGATGCAACCAGAGTTCGGTCAAAACCAGGATCGCTATAGATAATAATAGAAGAATTGAGAGTAAAATATTTTTTTTAAATAATTAGATTTGAAATATTTTAAATTAGAATTTATCATAT